AAGTCGTCAGTCACATATTTATTACGAATATTTCAATTTCACTTCCACAGTCTTTTGTTTCCAAGTTTTTATTTAAATTCCAGCTAGTGGGGCGCCTGGGTGGCGCAGTCGGTTAAGCGTCCGACTTCAGCCAGGTCACGATCTCGCGGTCTGTGAGTTCGAGCCCCGCGTCGGGCTCTGGGCTGATGGCTCAGAGCCTGGAGCCTGTTTCCGATTCTGTGTCTCCCTCTCTCTCTGCCCCTCCCCCGTTCATGTTCTGTCTCTCTCTGTCCCAAAAATAAATTTAAAAAAGTTGAAAAAAAAATTAAATTCCAGCTAGTTAACATTACAGTGTAATATTAGTTTCAGGTGTTTAAGCGATTCAACACTTACATACCTCACCCAGTTCTCATCACAAGTGTACTCCTTAATCCCTACCACCTATTTAACCTATCTCCCTACCCACAGTTAGTCTTATGATCCATTTCGAGTTTATTTTTATGTCTGGTGTGGTGTAAGGGTTAAGTTTTCCCATATGGATATCCACTTTCCAGCACCAATTTTAGAAGAGGCTGTCCTTTCCCCCCATTAAATTACCTGGCACTTTTTTTGAAAATCAATTGACCATAAATGTGTGGTTTGTTCCTGGAGCCTCTTCTGTTTCATTGATTGATCGAACTATCCTTATGCTGATACTATTCCTCTTCCCTCTTGATGTACCTTTATAACAAGTCTTAAAATCAGGTAGTAAAGTCCCCCAACTTTGTTGTTCTTAAGGATTATTTTGGCTCTGCTCAGTCCTTTATATTTCCCTACAAATTGTAGAATCAGCTTGCCAGGGGTGCCTGGGTGGCTCAGTTGGTTAAGCATCTGACTTTGGCTCAGGTTTCTGGGTTGGTTAAGCATCTGACTTCATGATCTCACGGTTTGAGTTCAAGCCCCATCGGGCTGTGTGCGGACAGCTTGGAGCCTGGAGGCTGCTTTGGACTCTAAGTCTCCTTCTCTGTCTCTGCCCTTCCCCTACTCACGTTCTGTCTCAGTCTCAAAAACAAACATTAAAAAAAATTCTTTTTAATAAAATCACATATACTTTAAAAAAAAAAATCACCTTGCCAGTTTCTTTTTTTAATTTTTTTTTTCAACGTTTATTTATTTTTGGGACAGAGAGAGACAGAGCATGAACGGGGGAGGGGCAGAGAGAGAGGGAGACACAGAATCGGAAACAGGCTCCAGGCTCTGAGCCATCAGCCCAGAGCCTGACGCGGGGCTCGAACTCACGGACCGCGAGATCGTGACCTGGCTGAAGTCGGACGCTTAACCGACTGCGCCACCCAGGCGCCCCACCTTGCCAGTTTCAACAGCAAAAAAAAAAAATAACTGAGTCTTTCAACTCACGGTAAACGTCTTCACTGATTTAGATCTTTGTTTCTGTATTGTTTAAAATTTTCAGAATACTGTACCAGCATGTGCTTTGTCAAATTTATCCTAAGTGTTTCATATTTGTAATGCTATTAGTGTTTTTATTTCATTTTCAATGGTTTATCACTAATATATAGAAATAGGATTTTTTTTAAGTTTACTTATTTATTTTGAGAGAGACCGAGTGAGTGGGGTGGGGGCAGAGACAGAGGGAGGCAGAGAATCCCAAGCAGGCTCTGCACTATCAGCATGGAGCAGGGCTCGAATTCACAAAACCATGAGATCATGACCCAAGCTGAAAACCAAGAGTCTGATGCTTAACCAACTGAGCCACCCAAGTGCCCTTGATTTTCTAATGCTAAACCGGGCTTGCACTGGCTATGATATTAGGGTATATTAAAGTTTGGTATTTCTTCCCTAAATGTTTGGTAGAATTCATCAGTGTAGACATCTGAGCCTAGTAGGTTTTCTTTCTGGAAAGGTTTTTAAGTGCAAAATCAGTTTCTTTAATAGAGATTGTTAGGGATCTTTTTGAATGAGATTTGGTAATGTCCTTCCAGAAATTTGTTTCATGACAGTTGCCTCATTTATGAAAATTATTTGTAACGGTCCCTTATTATCCTTTTTTTTTTTTAATTTTTTTAAATGTTTATTTATTTTTAAGACAGAGAGAGACAGAGCATGAGAACAGGGGAGGGACAGAGAGAGAGGGAGACACAGAATCTGAAACGGGCTCCAGGCTCTGAGCAGTCAGCACAGAGCCCGATGTGGGGCTTGAACTCACAGACCGTGAGATCATGACCTGAGCCGAAGTCGGATGCTTAACTGACTGAGCCACCCAGGCGCCCCCCCCTTATTATCCTTTTAATGTTTGTAGGATCTGTAGTGAGGTTATTTCTTTCCCAAGTTTGGTAGGTTCTTGCTCAGTTTGGCTGAAGTTTTATCAATTTTATTGTTGTTGTTTTTCCAAAGAACCGGCTTTTGGTTCATCAGTTGTTCTGTTTGTTTTATTATAAATGCCATTGTTTTCTGCTCTCTATAGCCTTCCATTGCTTACTTTGGGTTTAATTCACCTTTTTTTTTTGTTTGTTTGTTTATTTATTTATTCTGAGAGGGAGAGAGGGTAAGAATCCCAAGCAGGTGCCACATGATCAGTGCAGAGCCAATGCAGGGCTCGAACTCATGAGTCACGAGATCACGACCTGGGCTGAAATCAGAAGACGCTTGGCAGACTAAGCCACCCAGGCACCCCACACCCTTTTTTTAAGGTAGAAACTTAGGTCACTGAGACCCTCTTTTCCAAATATAAGAAATATGTATAGACAAACATAAGAAAATTGGGAAAAAACAGTGCAAAAGCAATTAACGTATTGGAAATTAAAACTGAATTTTTACTTACCAATTTTCTGACATTTGCACTGTTGCTTTTCACAGTTGTTTTCTACTATAGTTTTTTTAAAATTCTGATAATACAAATAATACATGCTGTTAAATTTCAAATTATGTGGAATTGCGTTTGTTAGGATAAGGCATAGCAAATGATCAAAATCCTTGCAGCTTAACACAACAGACTTTTATTTCTTGCCTGCACCATACATTCACCGTGGATCATCAGCGGCTTTGCTCCACACGGTCACTCAAGGACCCATGTCGACAGAGGCTTCACCATCTTGAGCTATTACCATCTGGAACACACGGCCTTTATATTCCCTATGGCAGAAGAGAACACTGAAGGGGGTTCTATGCAATTAAATGCTTTGGCCTCATAGCCCTTTAGCCAGAAATAGCCACTTCACACGCTAATCCTAACAAAGAAGTGAAATCTTTCTGTGGGCCTAGAAGCCGAGAAGTAGGTAGGAGTGAATACTGTAAATCTATACTCCAGGAAAAAATAGAGATTACTTCTCATTCTGCTGTGAGATAATCCCTACCTACTTCCTGTATTCCTGCCTGGCCTTTCTGACCTTCTTCGTGGCCAATCTTATGTTTGGGGTTGGTGGGAATTACTCCTGTGATCTGATTCATATTTGATTCATATGTGATTCATATTTTGTTCTACCTTTGCAGCTCTAACATTTTATAAGTATGTGAATGAGACCTGTGAAAGGGCAAATCAAGAATCCTTTGCTACATGAAAATTTCACATTTTTAAAACCTTGCTTTAGAGTATCTCTGAAAGATACATAAGTAACTGGTAACCATGGTATTATCTAGGGAGGGAACTGTACTGGACAGTGATTAGTTGGGGGTAAGGTTGGGCAGGATGAATAATTTTTATAGCAGACACTTCTGTTGAGTTTTATACCGTGTAAATTACATTACCTATTTAAAAAAAAACAAGGAAAAACTTATTTTCTGCATTGTCTTTCTATATTGAATTATACTATGTAAATGAATAAAAACATCGGTTTCTTCAAAAGTTGTCAGAGTCAAATGACAATTTGTTTTTTTCACTGAATTTTGACATATCAAGTAAGGACCGTATCTTGAAAAGTTTATTTACTTTTCAGAAGAATAAAATTACATTATCCAAGTAGATCAGTTAGTTACGGTCCTTTGGGTACCAGTAATCAACACAGTCACTTTTACTTGGATGTCACCTTTTCAGAAAGCTTTTTCATGTACATAAATTGGGTCCCTTTTTACATTTCCAGTTGTGAGTTGAGCCATAATGAGCTTACTGTCCGCTCCCACCTTTATCAGTCATCCAGCCAGAAAATGTGCTTATTAACACCTGAGCCTCTTTCCTTATGGGGAAAAATCTATACCTTCCGTGATTATTGTAAGGGGAAGGCGGAAGGTATATAAACCCCTGGACAAGGCTCAATACATTCGTTATTTAGCCACAGGCTTGCCTCCGTTCATTGGTTTCAGCAAATCTAACTACAGTGCCAGTTCCAATTTCTGTATGAGAGTAGACCGGGATGTCAATCCTGCTCCCCTTTGCATACCGCTGTTTAATGCAAATCGTTCTGTCAGGCTTTTCTGAGATTGCATGGTGCAACTATTTGATTATAATATTACGTATACACCTTTTTTATTTTACTCTCAAACTCTCATGAATGTACACAGGACTTTGTAAAAGCTACATGATGTACGATCTTGCAACTGATTAAATGTAGATAATTAATTGAGCAGCCTGCTATTGAGCTAGACACCAGAGCAGTCTGTGAAATGTGAAAAAAAATGCCACTTGGCTCCCTAAATCTTTTTTGTTTGGTAAAACACAGTAGTCTTTCATTACAAAAAAAAATGTTCCTTATGTTAATATGCAACAAGTGTCAAAAGGTCCTGAAACCAAACAGTTGGAGAACTTCTGGTTTGGACTCTGAAGCCCGGGAGCGAACACTGCGGTGCAAACAAGGTTTTATCAAATAGGTGCCATGTTACGTCTACACATATCTCAGGGTCTTTGGGAGACTTCAACCTAAATGTATCCCCTTTCTTCCTTTTCCTGGAAAAAAAAAGAATATAAGCAGTTAATTAATGCCACAGAAAGTTATAGTTTTTCTAAGCAGAGAACTAGAGCCAGTAGATGACACTGGACTCCCATTAAGATGGCTATTAATGATGGTTATTTTTGTTTTCTATCTTTCACACAGAGCTCGTTCACACTGGTATGCCAGGTACCAAGAGTAAGATCACTGAAGGCAATAAAATTGAAATTGGAAGACTGTCAGCCAAGAAAGACCTACTAGAGGAAGCAGAGTGAGTATGTCAAGTGTTGTGTAGTGTTAAGAATTAACTGGGTTTTAAATAGGAAACCAGAGACCGGATCAATGAAAAGAAATCATGGTTTGTTTCCCTCCGGCCCTGCTAATTCTTCCAAACTAGCCAGGTTGCAGTGCAAACCCAAAGATGCCTTAAAAAGGACTTCCACATTAACTATTTACATTGTATATGAAGCGTATGAATTAATTCATAAATAGTTTATAAAGTTCATAATAGTTTAAAAAGTCATTCAGGAAAAGAGCCGTATCTTACAAATCTCTGGATCCCTGCAGTTCATGTGGACATTTTTTCAAGGGAAAATTCAGGACAGGTAGCCTATCAGAGGATTTGTCTTGCTTTGGAGGTTTAAAGAACAAAATACTGCAATTTTGAATACCTTTTTAGTGGTTTGTGGGGAAGTGGGACACAAAATTGGTATGAGAAAGTTTTTATTCGTTTCCACAATCATTGTATTCAGGGACCATCATAAAATGACTAAAACCCTGTGTTCCGATAGACTTCTTTCAGCTGCTTTTTATTGCTTCAAGTTGCGTCTCTAACCAGGGCCTTTTCCCCCCTCCTCTCTAGTTTCTTTCAGCTTCATGATTCTCTTACACACCCAACTTGTCTTCGCTCTTCCAGTCCTCTTGTGAAGAGGTTCATGGCTAGTACCTTGGTGGCTACAACTGATCTTTATCCTCATCATCCCTTCTTACTTTCTTCCTCCAGAGACTAGCCTGCTTCTCTGTCCTTCCAGTTGGCCCCTCTCTGAGAGCCAGTGATGAAACGGACCTCAGGAAACATCCCTCGGATGTTGACCACTTAAACATGGATTCTTTAATCTGTTTAATTTTGGATGAGTTATAAAGGTTAAAACTACTTTATACAAGTAATTCTTTTACCCTAAAAATATTTTTTTTAGACGGGTCTAAATATGAACCTACTCTATTTACCTTTTTCACACCCATTTTAAACCAACACCGCCTATGTTTTTCTCATGTTTATTTAACTTTGACAGAGAGCACACACGGGTGAGCAGGGGAGGGGCAGAAGGAGAGGGAGAGGGAATCTTAAGCAGGTTCCATGCTTAGCACAGAGCCCAACTCAGAGCTCAGTCTAATGAACCATGAGATTATAACCTGAGCCAAAATCAAGACTTGGATGCTTAACCAACTGAGCCAGCCAGGTACCCCAACACTGGCTATTTAAAAAAAAATTTTTTTTCAACGTTTTTTATTTATTTTTGGGACAGAGACAGAGCATGAACGGGGGAGGGGCAGAGAGAGAGGGAGACACAGAATCCGAAACAGGCTCCAGGCTCCGAGCCATCAGCCAAGAGCCTGACGCGGGGCTCAAACTCACGGACCGCGAGATCGTGACCTGGCTGAAGTCGGACGCTTAACCAACTGCACCAGCCAGGCGCCCCAACACTGGCTATTTTAAAACAGCCTTATTTTCTCTTGTCACAAGAACGACTTCATATATTCTTATCGTTCCACCCGGGTTTCCTTATCCAAGCAACACCACTTTTAAGGCCAGTGGCATTTGTCAAGGTGGTAGTTATGATTCTCTGCCTTTGTACATCAAATCTGAATGGAACTTTTTTGGCAGAGGGTCAAGTTAAAACTGCATAGATTTAAACTATATATATTTGAGTATAGAAAACAATTGAGCATACAAAAGAATTTGTTTCATTGGTTCTTTTCTACCTATGTTTATAAAAATAGGTATAACTGATTTTTTATAATTGTCTTTATATATATATATACACACACACACACACGTGTGGGGGGCGGGTAAATACCTAATTTGTGTATCTTAGTAAGTCATCTTATAACATGGTAGATTTATAGCCATGACACTATGTTCAAGAAAAAGTAATTTATGACCCTTGTTAAAGAATGTTAAGGCAGACTCTACTCAGGACCTTTGCACTAGGTGCAGGGACCACTACAATGGGATTTTGCAGTGGGGTAGCGATTGGGCTCAACTCTGAATGCAACAAGGAATAGTAGAAATTTATAGCCAGCGAGCAAGGTGGAGGTTAGTAGAGGAGTATTATTGAGGAAACATCAGGGATAAGGAGGGATTCTTGCTAAGGCAGGCCAGAGTGATAGATCATCACTGGGGGATGGTGCGGGATGAGGAACTTCATCAGATATTGAAGGTCAGATTCTGGCAAACCAGACTCAGCAGGATTCTTGCTAAAGTTGGGACAATGAAAAGACGAACACGGAAGCTCAAGAAATCACTGGAACTCTCTACTCAAATGTGGAAAGACTCAAGTTAGGGTTCAATCTGTCCAAAGAACTGATCACCTTCTCTCACACGGGATTTTTTTCTTTACCCTCAGATAATATCCTCAACTACTCCCTTGAAATTATTTAATCATCATTTAACTGGTTTTAGGCAAATTGAGTTTTTTGTTTTTTAGTTTTCAGGCTTCGTGTTCCCTTACTATTTTCCTTGAAGTTTGAGAAATTCAGAGAAACCTATAACACTATAAATACTCGATGTATATACTCTTTTAGTCATTTTCTGTATATGTATAATGTCTTAACAATTAGGTGATATGTTGCTGCATAATTTTGTAAACTGCAATTCACTTAAACATCCTGTAGAAATTTATTTTTAACATGTAACAAATTCATAAGGTTAACATTTAACAAGTTATAGAAGAGGAAGAGTCAAAACTTCCTCCTATTCCGAGAAGCAGTTTTAATAACTGCATAATAGTACATTATTAGGATGTGCCATGTATCATTTTTTTTAATTTTGTTTTAATGTTTATTTATTTTTGAGAGACAGACAGAGCGTAAGTGGGGGAGGGGCAGAAAGACGAGACACAGAATCCGAAGCAGGCTCCAGGATCTGAGCTGTCAGCACAGAGCCCAACGTGAGGCTTGAACTCACGAACTGCAAGATAATGACCTGAGCCGAAGTCGGACGCTTAACCGACTGAGCCACCTAGGTGCCCTGTGCCATGCATCATTTTTAACCCATCTCCAATTGTTGGCATTTATGTGTGGGTTTGTTAGTGTTTTTGTTTTGTTGTTTATATAAACATTGTGGTGGAGGGGCGCCTGGGTGGCGCAGTCGGTTAAGCGTCCGACTTCAGCCAGGTCACGATCTCGCGGTCCTTGAGTTCGAGCCCCGCGTCCGGCTCTGGGCTGATGGCTCGGAGCCTGGAGCCTGTTTCCGATTCTGTGTCTCCCTCTCTCTCTGCCCCTCCCCCGTTCATGCTCTGTCTCTCTCTGTCCCAAAAATAAAAATAAATGTTGAAAAAAAAAAATTAAAAAAAAAAAAATTGTGGTGGAACAGTCTTAGAGAAACTTTTGGTTGTGTTTTTTTATGATAAATTCCTCGAATTTCCTTCCATTTTATTTTTATTTCATTTCATTTGGAGTAATTTCTACACCTAATGTAGGGCTCGAACTCACAACTCCAGGATCGAGTTGCATGCTCCATGAGCTGAGCCATCCAGATGCCCCTCCCTCCGTTCTTCCCCTCTGACCTTTCTTTTTCATCTTCTCTTTTTCCTGCCACCAAATGCCTTAATCACTCAAGCCTGAACTCCTGTTCCTTTTTGCCTTCACCTAGCATTTCTTAATGTTCTCAGCCCCTGTTCCTTCCCCGGATTGTCTTGTCTGTCCAAGTGCCATAACATGATCTTTGTCATGTCCAAAGATAAATCTTTTATCATTCTTCCCTTTATCTGTGTCCCCATTATTTTCAGCTTTACTGTTTTCTATCTTTGAGTGTCAGAATGATGATCCTGCAGCCAAAAAGCTTTGAAAATTGCTATCCTAAATTTTACTAACAAAAAGACAAAAAGTTGAGTGGGGGTAATGTTCATTGTCTGGAGTCAGAGTGAGACTGGGTTAACAGCCATCAGTGATTGTTCTGAGTATTACTATCAGGTTGCTGTTTTAAGCCTGTTTTTGGCTCTGGTAGATTCGTTTCCTACTTCTCTCTGCAAGTAACTAAAACCTGTACTTTTCTAGAAGTTGAGTAATTTTTATATAACATTTTGGTTAGAGATCTTAAAGTCCTGGACCATCCTGGTCTCAAAAAAAAAAATGAACAAAGTATACACATTAATTCTTCTTGATCATATTCTGTATTATGAGAAATTTAAATTCCTATTTATATATTTACAGTTGACCCTTGAACAACACAGATTTGATGTGCAGAGGTACATTTACGTGTTGATTTTTTTCAATAGATATAGTGCAGTACTGTAAATGTATTTTATGATTTTCCTAACCTTTTCACTAGCTTTACTCTAAGAATATAGTATAGGATATATATAAAACCTACAAAATACATGTTCACTGACTTGTCAGTAAGGCTCCCAGTCAGCAGTAGGCTATTAGGAGTGAAGTTCTGGTGGAGCTGAAAGTTACACACAGATTTTTCACTGTACCGGGGATCAACACCCCTACCCCCCTTCTTGTTCAAGGGTCACCTGTAATTTATTTGGGAAAATGACTGGATTAAATATGTTGAGACTAGAGGTGCTTGCTTTGAAAGGCTTAAATTAGACATAGCTTCAAGGTTTTCTTTCCATTTTTCTTTACAGGGATGGAAAATAAAGTGAAGCAGTGTTTTGTTGTGTGTATTTCAGCAGGCCTTCTGCAGTTCAACTAAAAACATGACTGCTCTTTCTTCCGGGAACTGCTCTTTTCAGTACCAGTTACGTCAAGCAAATCGGTCCCTAGATGGTAACTGTCTGCTATTCTTGATAATACTTGGGAAAGTATTACTAAATACCCTCACACTAGGAATGAGAAGAAAAAACACCTGTCACAATTTTATGGAGTATTTTTGCTTTTCACTAGCATTCATTGATTTTTTACTTCTAGTAAACATTTCCATTATATACTACTACAGAGATTTTGTACTTTTAGGTGTTAGGTTTACTAAATACCACATCTGCCTATTTACTCAAATTATTTCATTTACTTACGGTTTTCTGCATTATCCGGTTTTCCTGATAGCTTGTATAGATTATTACCTGAATTTCTCTAAAACTCCAAAGCTTGCATTGAAATGCAAAAAAATATTTTATTTCTTTACAGTAATTTTAATTTGGATTTCAGTCCTTGCTTATGTTTTGAGGGATCCAGGTATCTATCAAAGCCTAAAGGCACAGAGTGTTTATTCTTATCAATGTCCTTTCTACATTAGCATTCAGAGTTACTGGCTGTCATTTTCCATGGTGATGATTTTATTTATGGCTTTTATAACCTCTTGGTCAGAAGTGACTGCCTTGGTGCAGGCTGTTAGGATGACTTCCTATATGAATGAGACTATTCTGTATTTTCCCTTTTCTTCCCATTCTAGTTATACTCTGAGCTCTAAGAAAGCACTCTTGCCCAAGTTCATTATCTGTTTTCTCGGTACCTGGCTACCGTTTGTACTACTTCAAGTAATTATCCTTCTACTTAAAGTACAGATTCCAGCATATATTGAGATGAACATTCCGTGGTTGTACTTTGTCAATAGTTTTCTCATTGCCACAGTTTACTGGTTTAATTGTCACAAGCTTAATTTGAGAGATGTTGCATTACCTGCGGATCCTTTCGTCAACTGGAAATGCTGCTTCATTCCACTTACAATTCATAATCTTGAGCAAACTGAAAAGCCTATATCAATAATAATTTGTTAATGTTGCCATGTGAAAACTAATTCAAACTGACAACTACAATAAGAATCATAATTTTACAAATGGGAAAGAATGATGACTCAGGACATACAAAGATTGAACTGAAACCGCCCCCCACCCCATGCCTCCAGCCCCAACTTTCATTCCTTTTCACAATGTGTCTTTTGGGACTATGGTATTAAAAACAAAATAATTCCAAGAAAAATGTTTATGCCTGTTCTGGAACACTGCATGTTGCAAATACTAATTTAGCAAAGAAGTGAAACGAGTTAATATTTGGCCAGTAATACTGATCTGTGTTACCCAAAAAATTACTGGATACAAACTGTTATGTAAATCTGAGATTCACTGCCAGTAACATACAAATGTAACTAAACACTTTTATTAAATTCAGAGCAAGAAAATCAAGATCATTTTTTGAAAATTATTTGATATAAATATTCTTTAACATAAGGGGAAGAGAGAGTAGCTCAATTTAAATTTATGTAATTGAAAAAAAAAAATGATCTCTGTTCTTAATGCAGATAATCCTGGAAGAAAGTTTTAGTTGCTCACCTTACAGAATTGGGAGTAGTGACTAGGTCTCTTTCCATGACATACCAGATTCATTTTCATTTATAACTTGTATGTCACATACTTGCATGTCAAATCATAATCACATTGGCAGTGTATCACACTGTAAAAGTAAAGGAGGGCTTCTTATCCTCAGCACTATTCACATTTTGGGTCGGATAACTTTTTGTTGGAAACTGCCCTGTGCATCGTAGGATATTTAGCAGCACCCCTTCCCTTTGCCCACTAGATGCCAATCAAAATGTCTCCAGCCACTGCCAAACTTACCCTGGTCGGCAGAATTGCCCCCCTCTTGAGAACTGCTAGAGTAAATCAACCCAAACGGCAGAATCATCTGAAGTCACTTTGTTAGATTTTGTTTAATCTGTCACAATTTCTGAATTTGGTCCCTTCTCTGTGTTACTAAGTGTACCACTTTCTAATTCGCCATTACATAGGACTGAGATACTTTTTTTTAATAAAGTTTTTTAACTATATTTATTTTTTGAGAGAAATAGAGAGCAAGCGGGGGAGGGGCAGAGAGAGAGAGGGAGACCATCCTAAGCAGGTTCTGCACTGTCAGCAGAGACCCCGATGCAGGGCTTGAGCTCGTGAACTGGGAGATCATGACCTGAGCTGAAATGAAGAGTCAGATGCTTAACCGACTGAGCCACCCAGGAGCGCCCCAGGACTGAGATACTTTAAAATATATTGTACTTCATTAGTAAAGATTTACACTCTGCAGATTTCAAATAGGCAAATTTGTAACTATTTCAAAGCCCTCATAAACTTAAAAGAAGAAATTATTCAATAGACCAGCCAAATGGAAGAGGCTTTTATTTGTAAAGAAATGAACTTACAACTGGTCTACAATATATTATTGTAATATAAACAATATAAATAAATGATCCTGTAGGCCCACTAACCTTCCATCCAGACCCACATGAGGCAATGTTAACAACAATATTCTATGTGAAAATGTGCAGGTAACAAAGGTGCAATTACAAGCAAGTTTAAGCAGCAGAGTATAAGGTGCTTTAATTTAACAGTTAATGTTGCCATCAACAAACATTTGAATGTTCAATTTTACTTCACTGAATACAGACACAACAAATATGAAAATCTAAAATTCATACACATGCTACTTGTTAATATGAAAGTGCTTTCTCTTTTAAAAAAATACACCAAATGGACAGTCTTTTTACATAGATCATGGTGTGCTCTTATTAATGCAAAATTAACTTCATTTTCAGGTTATACATTTTAAAACGGTAGCTATAGACACCAATCTAGGAATGCTAATGCTAAGAGTGCTAAACTATTTCATTTCCTGTAAGGAGGACTGTAATACAATATCCAATGTAAAGAATACATGTATATATAATCTTAACATTTGTTTCTGTAAAAGTAAAAAAGGTTTCCTTTCCCCTTGGTGACGCAATGCTCAACCTGGGTGGATCAGCTTTTGAGGTTAATATGAAAGTCCTATGTTAGGATAATGGGAGGAACCAAAAGGAATTAAAAATCAGTTAACGTGTGCTTGAAGCATCAAAAAAAATCACAACAATTTGCCTTTGTGAAATCAAAAGACTGTTTTTTTTAACAAGCAAGACAAAAACAGTAATTTAACAGAGGCTTGGCATGCCTGCCTCTCCTCTGTCAGTGCCCCTCCTGCACACTGTCTACAAGTCCAGTCTGCACCACAGCTCACTCCTGACTCTGAGGACCGTTTTTAGAACTCACTTTGACTTTTTCCTATGGAAAAAAACAAGACCAAGCTTTTGAATGAAGTGATTGGGAATCTAGTTAAATGTCTTGGAAATGAAAAATCTAAAATTATATCATCTTTGCCCAGCCCGTTCATTTTTCAAAATTTAAAAATACATATACAAAAGTATGCAGTAGATATTTTAATAGCATAAAATATTTGAAAAATTAGGTAAATTAAAATATTTTAAAAGTACACTTTAACCAATACCATGGCAAATTTTTTTAAACCCAGACTATCTGGTTACTTGGATGTCTGTGTTCTATTTTCAATCAGTTTTAGATTCTAATCTATCACGTATCTGGACATTTCCCTGCTTTAAAAAGCTGTGACTATGATGAATAAAAGATGTTTTTAAATATTAGGTATTTTCATTTTGTATCTTTATGGAGAATGTTAGCATCAAGTGATGTTAATCTGTTTCGCTGGGCCAACAGGAATGACAACATAATTTCACAGGATCCCCAAGTGGTAAGGAAACTTCACCCAATTAATCAATGCCATTCAACGTTTACTCCCCAAATAGTTGTCAATTCAAGCATGGAAGGGTTTTATGTTTACCAGTTAAAGGAAACCCTTTTCCTATGTAATACATGTGTGCTCTCTAAAAAGTAAGTATTTGTAATAATAATAAAATTTTGTGTAATTTCTTGCTTTAAAAGCAAAAGAGAATAAAAAACCTGTTCAGCGATCTTTTCAGTTGTAGAAAGTTACTTCACTGTCAATAGGGGTGTAAAGCTTTTGTAGTTAAAAATGTATAGTAAGTCAGCATCGGCTTCTATCTTTGTATTCTTTGTATTGTTCTGTCACACACCCTGTATAGCAACACTTCTGGAATAGATTCAAAGTGTCAAAATAATTCTGAGAAATATGGGCTGTCACAAAAGTCTCAGAATGTAGATCCTTATTAGGTGCCCTTGATTTTATAACCTAATCAGGTTTATTATTGGCTGATTTGTATGTGAAATGTGTTTTAGGAATTGTGCTGTGATTCACTCAGACCACCCCCTACCCCCACCGCCCCGATGTCATCTAGCTAAATACTTCACCCAGTGCATAAAAGTTTCCCTCTCAGTTCAATACAGTAAGTAAATAATGTCCATGTTTGTTTTAAGCCACAATTAGAATTTTGTTTTGGAAGATTTTGTTCACTTATTACTAGTTCCTGTCATATATACCACACATTTCACGTAAGTGTTCAAATGGCTTGCATTTTAAACGAATGGAAAAATGCATGAATGACAATGTTCCTGTGTGTTCACAGGTTCAGTGGTTAACTAGCAAGAAGCATTTAGAAAATGTCCTCATTTGCTTGTCTGTGTAATTTTTCTTCTCTACATAAATCCTTAAGAGAACAAAGACTGTATATATAGGTGAACCAGGAAATGGATGCTTAACAATTCTCTTTTAGCAAAAGCTCTTAAGTATGAAATGAACCATTAAAAAGGGAAAGAGAATTAAGTAGAAGTATTTAAAAATACGTAGAATCATAGTTCTAGATCTGGGAGGTACCTTAAAGATGACTTAAACACAAATCAGCATTTTGAGTAGTATAGGCTCCATACTGTATATTCAGAAGAGGAAACAGATTAAAAGCTAAGTAATTGCCTGAGGTGTCACACACCAGCTAATTCACCAACTGGAAGTAGAATTCCCAGCCCCCCAGCCAGCCCTTATCTTCATTCATCATATTCATCTATTATTTATTACTGAAGTAGATTATCTGGTACTACCTAAAGCAAAAAGACTTTAACACACAGCACTCTAAACAGATTTTAAGCAGTGGACACTTCTGGTTTGCTTGAGGCAAAACTAAAAATTCCTTCTTTCTAAAATAGATCGATGTTTATTTCACTACCAGCCCCACCAGTATCTTATGAACACCCAACTTCTTCACCTCCATTAATTAAAGCTCCACAAAACATGGATTTAACACTGATAATATATATTCCTTGAAGTTTAACTTTTAAGCCAATAAATGATGGCTACGATCAATCCTTAAGAAGATTACTGGAGTCAATTTAAATAGGTGGTCTAAAAGGACTTACTAAATTACTGTTATATTTAACACTATGCCATGTTAGCAATATTTTATATTCAGTTTTTTCCAAATTAAAATTCATCACTTCTTTTCAACAATACATTTTAAAACCTTTGTACAGGTTTTCTTTCTACGGACTCATACTGATGCCATCAGTATCACTAAAAGCAATTATACTATTCAAAAGCAGGGGAAAAAATACTTCTCTAATGTACCCTCTTCTCCAATATCTGAGAGTTTTAAAATCATCATCTTTAAATAAAATTAAATGTTCACAAGCTATAAAAAAAAGAAAAAAACATTCTTGGAAAACACTTCCCAAAAGGTCCCATAAACATGGCACTTAAGAGGTGTGTGTTCATGGGTTCAAGTAGAACAGGGGATTTTCATTAGAGAAGCGAGGCCTCAGATCTGAGAAGTAGGGAGGCCACTCCCTTTTAATGTCTGTGAAATAAGTTCAAAAAAAGCCCAACACTGTGCTCTGGAAAATGATGCTGATTTGTATTAGTGCTTTATAACTTTCAAAAAAAAAAAAAAAGCCTTCTCATAGTATTATTTTAAAATAGATTAAATAAGCTCTAAAAAATAACATGTAAAACTTTAAATTCTTAAAAAGTTAGGAAACTTTTTCCAAAGAAGATAATATAATTTTCAACATTTTTTTTTCTTTATTGAAGAAATGGCTTGTATTGTTGCTATGAAGGAAACTATATAGTGTACATATTATGGACTAACAAAAAAGGAATATCTTTCCAAAGAGTTTTTTTTTTAAAGATGTACAGCTTATGATAGATTGAAATTAAATTTCAGTAAGATTGCATATTTATTTTTCCTAATACTGTATTTGTGCTTATCTAAATTACAATCTTTAAGATGAAATCAAATGCTTTTAAAGAGACTCATAAAATACCAATGTTAATGAATGTGAATTAAACAGTTCATTTTATGATCCACACTACTGTGCATCAAAGAAATAGAGGTAGGCTTCCGCTGAAATCCACACTGATAAAGAGAAAGATAGCTCTTTAGTCATCCAATTCTTAGATACA